ATGAAATCGAATCCCATTTTTATCTATCGCAACCCTAATCCCAATCGATGAAATCGTTCAATCCCATTTGTATCGCAACCCTAACCCAGTTCGATCAATCAATGAAATCGAATCCCATTTTTATCTATCGCAACCCTAATCCCAATCGATGAAATCGTTCAATCCCATTTNCAACCCTAACCCAGTTCGATCAATCAATGAAATCGAATCCCATTTTTATCTATCGCAACCCTAATCCCAATCGATGAAATCGTTCAATCCCATTTTTATCGCGACCCTAACCCAATTCGATGAAATCGTTTAATTCGATTGAGATGATATCGACTCTGCTTATCCTTAAACCCAATCCCATTTTTGTCGCCCCTAACCCAATTCGATGAAATCGTTTAATTTGACTGAGATGCATATATATATATATATATATATATATTTCACATGTTCTTCAATCCATCAGTGTCAATCCAGAATCTAGAGGAGGTATTCGTTCGTCATCGCAGCGACCGGAAAAGATTGCAGTTTACAGGTTCATATTCGTTTTCTATTCTGTTTAATTTAATTCCTGTACTCAAGGAGGTGTTGTTTCATACTTTGAGATCAATTGGAGTCCTTTGGTCCATTTTATTTAAAGTTGAATGAATTAAGGATCGATATTCAACATGGAATATAGCTGACATGATAAGAGGCATAACCATCCATGAGAAAGATGGTTTAAATTAATCCCTTTCTTCTCCATAAATTTCAAATTTTGTTGGGAGCTAACCTTCATGGTGAACTCATGTGCTTAGTGACACTATGCTTCGTGACGTGTAGTGGAGACAATTGTTACAATTAGGATGTAGGCATCTTAACTACTAATTGCCTTTCCCCGGTTCCCTCAAAAACTTGGCTTGCCATGTTATTGAAATAATTGAGGAAAGTCTTTGAGAGGGCTTGACATGTAGCTGCAATACAATGAGTATTGCAATTTTTCACATGGTCAAGAAAAGGGCATAAGTGAAAGTTGAATGAAATTGAGAGATCAAGGAAAGATAGGATTAGGGGCAGAGTAGGGTATTACAATCAATAAGAGTCTAAAAATTGATGTATCCTCTTTAACGATGTGTTCCTGAATTTAAGAAGAAAAGAAAAGGAAGTGAAGGGAAAGAAAGGAAAGGAAAAGAAAGAATGTTTTTTATTTGTGTCCTTGAGAGCGAAGAAAAGAAAGGCAAGGGAAGCGAAGGAAAGAAAACAAAGTTTCATGTGTTTTAGTAGGAGAGAAAGGAAAGGAAAGGAAAGGAAAGGAAAGATGTCAATTTTACAAATACACCTTTATTTATTTTACAATGGATTGTAATTGATGGGTAGATATGTAGTTTATAAATATTATTAATTGTTGTTTTATTTCTTTCATGTCCTTCCCTTTCGTCCCATATTTGGGAGGAAAATCAGTCTTCTTTTCCTTTTCTTTCCTTTCCTTCCTAAAAAAACTCGAGAACACGAGATTTTTTCTTTCCACCTCCTTTCCTTCTCTTTCCCTCCCTTTCCTTCGTAAACAAGAAAGAAGGGATAAATTATATCAGGCAAACCAGTGTGGAAGACGATTATGAATGTTAGTAATGCAATATCTCATGTGGTAGGCTTGAATAAAGTAAACTATCAGGTAGATTTTAGGTAGACCTAGAAGGTGGTGTTTATGGTTACTATTATATTAATTGCAAGTAGCTACTTGCACAATGGTAGGCCTTGCAGAGTTTTAATTTAGAGCTAGGTATTGACCAAAAAGAAGGTAGTCTAAGCATGCTTAATGATGCAAGGATTAAAGTAGGGCCTTTGGAT